AAACTGCTGCCCCTAGCTTGGCGACATTAAAAGCCGTTGTCGTGGATGTTTATTTGTCGTAAAGCAAAAGCAAGCTCAAATTGCAAGTATTTACGCAGACACACAGCACACGCACACCAGGGCACAAGAAAATCCCCGAGCACACACACACACACACGCACAAGAGGATAGAGAGTTGGCAGTGGAGCGAAGTCAGTGAAAGTGCTAACAAAGTTGTGTGCCCGGGAAATTCGTATTTAGAAATGCCATTGTCTGTGGCATAAGATACAAGTTTGGGCAGAGGCGTTGCACATTTTGCTATAAATGAGTCTTAGAAAACGTTGTTGCGAAAGCGAGACCATTATATTCATTCCATAAAAGACGCATAATTGATCTAAGATACTTAGTTAAGACCATGTACTCATATTTTCGAAAAGAAATGATTTACAATTATGAATTGTTTGAAAGGAAAACACGCTTTTACGCTCTGGAAAGCAGAAGCGTAATGGTAAACAAGCCAAAATTTCAAGTTGAATAAGAGGACAGCCTTTAATTTATTGAAAAATATATAAATATATATAAATAAAATGGAATTAATGTGAAATTGAATCATTTCCTGAGCTATAATAGTACAATTATTTGGATTAACTTGAATTTCGAAAGTATCTTAAGGGCAAACTAAGTTGCTTGGCTTAGGAATTTATCTCGAAAGTATCTTAACGCCGAAGTGAATTTTCGTGGAAGGCTGTGACCACTTTCCATGAATATTTATCAAGAAATTATAAGGGATACTTTGTGCCTGTGGTTTTGGAATAATTCCGACATAGTTGGCTCCATAGGCCAGGCATCCCCAAAATGCCCCTTCATCCCCATGCATCCCCATTCTCATGCTCATCCCCAAACGAGTAATGATTAAGGTTATGAAGGAGCAGATTTATTTGCATTTAGCCTGATGGACAAGCCTGCTCGGCCCATTACAATTAGCCATAGATTTTAATTATCATAATGATAATTGCCTTATGGCGAGTGTTGTCGCAGTTGGTTTAGTTTTTGCGCCTATTTAATATTTGATCGTCCTGCGCGAGTCCTTGCTTTGATGTTGCCCGCTCCTAATTGGATTGCATCCTTATTAATTAGGCGGTGTCGGGATAGCAGGATGGCTGGATAACAGGATGTCAGGATGACGATCTGACAGCTTTTCCCTACAGTCTTTGGCTTGGAGCTCTCTTGCTCTCTATGCAAATCGAGTCGGAATAACAAAGTAACGAAATAACGAAATAACAAAATAACGAAATAACTTGGGGCCACAGCGACGAGGATGTAATTAAAATATGTTGCCAAAGACAAACAACAACAGACAAAAGGCTCAGAACAAAAACGCGGCCAACACACAAAAACAAACAAACAAACAAGAACATGGGCAAAAAGCTGAGAAATTGAAACTGAAACACGCAGAACAAATTGATAAATATGCAAATTTAATAGACTCGCACTCAATTTGCATAAATCTTGGCGTCTAAAAATAAATAAATAAAATTGCAAATGCAAAGTAAATTAAAGTGGATAAAAAGGCACCACAAAAGTGAAAAAGTCGAGCTGTTTATACCTTGTATTACACGCAATTTGGCTGGAAAAGAACTTGAACAACTGCAAGGTTAAAATATGCTATTTACAAAACTAACTAACCATAGGAATAACTATATATACAATTCATAATATAGTACAAATAATAAAGCATATATTTCAACATGGATATAAATATGGAGAAATTCATGCTTGAAATAATAGTTTTCCATGCCCTTCTATACACTTAGGTTAAATATATACCCAGCATTCGCCTCTCCGGCGAAAATATGCTAAATGGAGTTTCAGACAAAATGCAAATAAAACGGAGCATAAGAAATACAAAACTACAGCGAGGAGGGGAATAAAATAAATAAAATAAGGCAGCAGCGAAAACAGCTTGAACATCACGCCGTAACTGGCAATTGACTGCTAACAGTTCTGCATATAAATTGAGCAGATTGAGATGCAAGGAAACAGATACAGATACACCGAATCATACACAGGCAAAAATGGGGGGTGGGTGGGTTGCTGGGGCAAAAGTGACAGCCCCGAAAACGAGATCAAGATTTGTTTCGTTTCCATTTCCGTGACCATTTGCAACCATTCTCCTCGGTGTTTATCCACCTGCCACTTTTCCCGCTTTTCATTCGCCGCCCTGCGCTGCTTTCCCCTGCCTTTCCCCCAATTTTCCTTCCGTTTGTGTGCGTGCTTATTTGCCTGTACATTATTTGTACACACGATTGCCCTTCGCATATTAAAGACGAATTCATAATAAATACAAAGGCAGCGCAATGGTCATATCTCTCGCAATAATCTGAGTCCTGTTGAGACTTCCTCCTCATAGATATGGAGTTCGCTTTGTTAGCCGAAAAAAACACTGTCTTCCTGTATCTTTGGCAATGTATCTTTGGCAATACTTGTTAATTTCTGAGGTGCGATTACACTTTTCATTGCTTAAAGTTCGATTACTGAGATGAATAGTTAGGCCATAAATAGAACAAAGAGTTACATGATTAAATATTTATATATTCCTAATCATTTTTAACCAATTCTTGTTGTACCTTATTTTATTTTAAACCCCTTTACTTTTGGGCTGCGTTAAATTTGTAAGGAAACAATTGTAACCTAAATCTTGAAGGTTGATTCTCGGCGGACTTGTTGCCAGCTAATTTCGAGACGCCGAGTCGTTCAATTACGAAAGTTTTGCCGGCCAAGTTAATAACATTTATCGCCTGCCATAAAACATATCGTGTTCGTTGGTTGTGTGTAAGGACTTTGGATACGGAGCTGTGGAAAACTTGCTGCAACAAGTTTAACCTTTTTTCCGGTTCGGCAAGGTTGTTTCCTCGCTTGTAGCTCGTTCATCTTTGCCATCTTTTTGGCCAAGCTATGGAGAAAACACGTTTGAAAATAATACAAAATAATAATAGCACTGAATAATAATAATACTAAATAATAATAATACAAATGAATCCGATTTTGCTACGATTGCGATACAAACAAGTGTTATGAATGCGTAACGAAATTGTGCATAGGCCAATGCCAGTTCATTTTTTTCTCTGTACATTGACGCCAAGAGTTAGCCCTAATATGTCTAATAGTTCAGCAATTCCTTTAAGACTCGGGCCTTCTGTGCCACCGAGCACTTGAGTGGGTCAGGGAGTGGGCCAGGTGCCAGGACCTTTCCAGGAGCTGTTGACAGTGTCGTCCTGGGAGTATCTTCCGGGAATCCGGCGATCCCCGATAGCCGCGGAAATTGCTCGCAACGCATTGCTCAAATTGCATTACATTTAGAGGATAACTTTTCCCTGAGTTCCCTGCCCCTTTTGACATTCGATAATTCGTAAATGGCAGTAGTTTATCTTTTTCCGATCGAAATTTCCGCTGCTGATTTCCCCAAGCGGATGGACTTGTAGCGATTTGATTGCATAAGTTGTAAGTAACAAAGATTGCGACAAAAGTAACACATTCATGATTTATGGCATGATAGGCGATAAGAAGGCTAGTTCTTCGCTTAAAGGGTTTTCCTGTAGAAATGTTCAATTTATTAGTTCAGCGCTCTATAACCTTAATCAATGCGGCACTAAAGCATCCCCTAACAGGCCATTAATTTTGCCAGACATTCGCCAGTCAGTCCTTAAACAGCCACGACCCATAAATAAGGAGCACAATCCGCGCCCAGCGCTAAAATTTATTCCCATTTGGCAAACCTTTCGCCCGCCGTTCAGTTTACAACTCAACTTGAGTTGGAAAATGTTTGAAATATTTCGGCATCTAACGGCATTTTAAAGAGCCCGAAAGAATATGCAAATCGCTGTGGGTGTGTGTGTGGGGTGTGTGTGTGTGTGGGTGGGTGCAGAAAGAGCACCTCAAGCAGGTGAAAAAAAAATACAAAAAAAGGAAACAGAGGGGAAAAATCGCATGCCTATGCATCGTTCCATTCTGTTTTATGGTTCATAAACTTTCGCTCCTCGGTGAGTGCTTTTTGCCCTTTTTTTATGGGGGCACACTGAATAAAAAACTGATTTGTTTTGCCGCCCCTGCTTCAGCGTTTGATGTTGCCGGCTGTTTTGACTGATTTCAGCCATTTGTTGCCACCAAAATGTGGCTCCGCTTCTCGGGGGCTAACATATGGCACTCACTTCGGCATAATCAACATCATCATCACCATCATCATCATGCTGACGAGTTGTTAATGATGAACATAATGACGACACGGAGCGCTTTGGGCCAACAAAGTTGTTAACATAAAATGGCTCGCTGCACACATGTACACCAACAATTTGCTCAGATTTCCCAGTACTTACAGCTCTCTACGTGTGTGCGTGTGTGTGTACTTGGCAACTTTCACTTTTATAGTCCTCATCTGTCATTGCAGCCGTTTTTCACCTGCGAATATGCGTCAGAAAGGAAAGTTTATTGTGCCTAATGTTTAATTTAATTTATGGCCAATTTTAGTATTTATCTTTTCGCTTTACAATGCATTTGGAAACCAATTGATGGGAATCGTATAGCAATTTCTTTCCATGCACCAATTATACGTCAAAAACTTGCAGTCGAAAGAAGCGAAATAAAATGTGAAAATTTTATTAGATTTTGCATTTGAAGAAGGTAAACGGAGCAAAGAAAAAAACACGCAGATTGTGGGGTTGTTTTTACTACGGGGAAACTTGGCACTGACGCCGAGTAAACTTTTCATGCTTTCATGTTTTTCCCTGAGTTTTTCCAGTTTTCGGAACCTTGATGCCCGCCGCGGGCGATGGATGATTCTGATTTTGATTCAGCCCCATGTTGCTGTGGGTTGCTTTTTGCCACACGCCACACGCCACACGCCACCCGGTCGTATGGGCAATGTAAACAAGCTTCCCCCGCCACTCAGCCGGAGTTGGGATTTCCTACGATGAAAAGCAAGCTTTTCCCAGCTCGTTTTCGTTTGACTGGCAGCCCAGCTCGGATACAGATACTTTCAGCTCCCATACTCGTATACCCAGCATTCAGATCAGACCTTGTTTTTCGATCCACACAAAAAATGGCCGTTTTGAAACTCAACTCCTTCCACACCAGGTTCTTTCCATCCGCCAGATTACGTTGCAAGGAGTTGGCGCGGCGGTGGTACTTGCTGCAGGTCAGGCAGCAGCGACAGCAGCGCAGTGAGCCCACAGTTCCGGCCATCTCGCAATCCTTGCAGCCCATTAGCAGCAGGGAGCTGCTATCGAAGCATGTGATCGGTGGCTTCCGACTGCAGGTCCACCGAAATTCCTTCACGCAGAGGCTGGAGATCACGGCCACATTGGCCAATCCCACGGTTCCGCCGGACACGGATCCCGCTCCGGAGGATGAGCAGCTTTACGAACTGTGCATTTGCAGTAGCCGGGGTCAATTGGTGCGCAGGATGCCCTTCCTGGAGAGCGACTACCGACGTGCAGCCCGCTCGGCCATCGATTGCCTGGCCATCTAGATATTTCTGCGAGCGTTTTGCAATTTTGAAATCCCTCTTATTGTGTATTCCCTTTGACATGGAGATGGGGAGCATTTTTCATCCTGCGAACGGCCAAATGACAGCCCTTTTTTGCGCTGCTGAACGGACTTTCAGTATCGATTACGTGTTGCGCTCTATTTTCATGTCTCCTGGCACTTTGTGGCACATAAGCAGTAAAAAGCTGAAAACCGATATTCGGACCTTCATAAATTTAACGTAAATGTATTTAAAAATATGAAATGTACTTCTTCACTTTAATAAATAACTTAAGCGTTCATCAGAGAAGATGAATTCGTTGCTTTAGCAATTTGTTATTGAAATGCTTCCCAAAATTTATTTTCAACACAAATAAATGAGCTCTTATTTTTCTGTCATTGCTCTAAAGTGCGATTTCATCTACGTTTCAATCTGCAAAATCTACTTTTTCAGCAAAGTAAATACAGAAAATAAAAGTCAAGTTTGTTGACAAGAAATTAGCAATCAGGGCAATGCAAACTTTCACTTCTGCAATCAATGTTGCTGCTGTAGAAGCATTTTAATTTCGCTATTTTTATTTAATTAGTACCAATATTGAAGATACAGTCGATGGCGATAAATATTTAACGCATTGGAGTAAGGCTCCATTATTAAGCTCAGACTGAAAAAATAATCCTTAAGCTGGAACCCACAGCACGCTGCATTATTGAAATACGTAAATATGGCCCTCATTATTCGAGAATATTAATGGCACATATTCCGCCTCTGCCCGGAAAAAAACCAGAAGCTGCTGAAAATCAACCATTTCAAAATGCAAAGTCATACGATGAAACACTGTAACAATCCCTCGTAAGCGATAATTGCAATTGGACGGGATCTGCGGTTGCTCGTCTGGGCTTAAAAAAGGGGCAGCGAGGATGCCAATAATTCCGGCCATATATCCACTTACCACGCACACGGACACGCACACCCACACCCACACACTAACACATATGCAAATGTGTGTGTGCCCGTGTACCCTGCATATAAGACGAGGAGACCCCAAAGAACATGCTATCAATTTTATTTTTATTTATTTTACCTCCCGCCAAAGCGCCCATTTCCCTCGCATTTGTTTGCTCTTGGCTCAGGCTGAGCATATTTTGTAGCTCGTAAAAGTTTTTGATATAAAATGTAAACAAAGGCGAAATGGGACACCGAAAACACGCAGCCTCCAAGCACTGCGCCGAAAATCTAGTATACAAGTGTGTATATATTACATTATGTTAAAATATTCGAAAATGCTAGGCGACAAGTGAATTCATAGAATTATGCAAATAATCCCTAAGTTCGTAACATTGCATTCAAGCTTTATGCAGTTCAAGCAGTTTTTCGCTCAGTGCTGGCAGCTCAAAATTAAGGCGCGTTTTGTAACCAGCAAAAGGCCAAAACGAGTTTCGTCTTTCGCCTGCTTGTTTTTGTTGCGGCTTCTCTTTCCGCCGCGCCCTCTTCCGTTTCCCTTTGCCGCCATTTTGGGCGGCCATTGTGGGTGGGCCACCTGAGTGCGCGAGTGTGCGTGTGCGTGCGTGTGTGTGTGTGTGTGTGAGCAAGAGAGTGTGCCAACGAGCCATTCAATGCTCGATGCTCACGCACTTGCACACATTAATTAAAAAGTTCAGGGTCAGGCCAGCAGACAGACATCAGCTGGTCGAAAGCAACAAGAGGGAAACAACAAAACAAGCGATGGTCAAGGGGAGGGGGGGGGGGGGGGGGGGAAGGATTGGGTTAAAATGGGTGCCCCCCCTGTCCGGCAAAGTTGGTCGAAAATTTCAGTGTTGCTTTAGCATAATTTGTTTACTCCGCTGCTTTGCTGCTTGGCGCCCATTTGGATACCCTGTAATTTGCCTGTTGCTGTACTTGGCAGGCTAAGAAAGTGCCTTTTCACGAACTTTACTTGCTAAACTTTTGCCTCTGACTGCTTAAGATATCTCAATAAACAGTTTTCCTTTGTGTCCCAAGCTTGTTTGTAATAATTCCTCTTCCAAAGGTCACCTGACAGTCGGCAACAGCCAAGTAACTTCAAAATGGCCTAGTACCCTAGTGGACTTGCCATTTTTCAGCAACATGCCCCTGCAGCACTTCCCCCAAGCCAAACGTGCAAAGCAAGCAACGAAACTAGAAAACAAAAGCTGGCGACACACACACACACACACACACTCGAGGAAAAGTGGGGGAAGCTGTGCGTAACTATAATTAATTTCATTTTAGACTGGTTAGCAAATAAACGAGCAAACGATGCGGTTCGTTCGCTGGCTGCCTGTTCAGCTCCTCCTCAGCTCCTCCTCAGCTCCTGCCCAGCAACTTGCCACTCTCGATGGAATGTACAACCATCGAGCACCCGGAAAACTCACTTCCACTGCCAGGCATCGGCTCGTTTTTGGCCGGTTGGGACACTATTTTTGGCCACGTCCTTGTTGCCATGTTGTTGGCTTTGCACTTTGCCAGCACTTGACTGTCCAACTTTTCATTCGTGCTCCACCTGGAAAGCCACCCAGAAGCGTCGAAAAAACCAGGCCACCCAAAAGAGCCACCCACTTGTAGTATAACTGTTGCTTATGTTGCAGGATTTCATTTCGAGACGGCTGTTGAGCGTTGAAGTCCTTTGAAGGACCGAAAAGCTCAACCCTTATCAAAAATTCAACGGCATGATTTCATATCCCCGAAATTATTGATTCATCTTGAATGCCGAATCATGCAGCAAAAAAATGTTTATCCCACGGCCTAATCGCCTGGAACTCATTAACTTTCCTCAGCTGCAAATATTTTGTTTAATTTAGCTAGTCAGTGTTTACAAATGATTTTCCTTCCTGCATAATTAGGAGGCCTTGGCAGTGTTTGCTTACAGCCGAAAAGATGCCCATTTGAACTGAGGAGAAAGTCTGCAAAAATATTAAATTAGCCAGGGCTTGTGAACAGAAATGAATTTTGAAATGATTTATGTAACCGGATAAAGGCTTTCAGTACCTCCTAACCCCATGGTCCATCATAATTGATGACTTTCGGCGACTAATACAAACAATTTGACCGAAAACTATAGTTCGACAAATTGTTGTTAAAATATTGAGAGCAAAAGAGCCTGAATAAATAAAAATGCCAACGCCACAGTTGGTTGGCCCGTAAGTCATCCCGAGATGATTCCATCAAATATGCATGGCCCATCGTCATCATCATCATTGGATCCCAAGCCGGGCGGAGCTGTCCATTTGAATTATGCATGCATAGACAGCAGAGGCCGTGGGGCGGGAAGGGGGGAATATCTATGGCGGGAAAGCCAGGGGGTTTCGGGATAAAAGGGGTTGTCAGCGCCAGGAAAGCCGGGCAAGCCGGGAAAGCCGGGAAAGCGCAGCATGACGCCTGCCAAGGAAATTAGATTTCCCACCAGCAATGCCCCTTCTGTTGTGCGTCTGTGTGTGCGCCAGTATCTGTGTTAGCCAGTTGGACAAAACGGCTTAAGTGTTTTTGCCAGCGCCTTTTCACCCGATTTGCATAATGGTCGCCGCGGCCGCCTGAAAAGTATGCTACAACTTTTTATCAACTTTGTCAGCGGAAATTATGCTCAGCACGAGTCGCGGCGTGTGTGCGACACCAGCTCACCCACACACCCACACACACACACACACATAGACATCCGTGCACAGGTCAGTTACGGCTAAATATCGCAAATGATATATGTGCGAGTGGCCCCTATAAAACTTACTTTAATTATTTATTTATTCAAATGGCTGGCCGGGCTTCTAAGCCGAAAAGCCTTTTACAAAGGCAGTCAGAGTGAAGGAAAAGCCGCTGGAAAAGGGGCAGGAATACAGAGAAAAAGGGGGGAAAAGGCAACGGCAAAGGCGGTGGAAAAGAATTTTTCCAACTTTCTGCCAGCGCTTCCTGCAAGAAATTGAAAGTGGCACGCGCAAATTACTTAATCCTACTTTTCAAGTACTTACTGCACACATACATATATATATTAGCACAGTGAACTCTTGATAGTGCGACTCAATTGAGGCCATTACAAAATGGTATTTATTACAAAAAACAATTTTTTAAGTGGTCATAATAAATAGTCTAGATGCAGCCCTAAAATAATTCAAAAATTCACTGATTATGGCAGTTTGACAGACAACCAAGCTTTAAATGCAAAATCGTGAGCGAAATAAATGAAATTCCGCAGATGCATTGCAAATATTTTTAATTTCAAAATCTCTTGTGTATAGAACAAACAAATTGTTACCTTTTTAGAGTGTTCACTGCACACAAACTTTTGCACACAGGCTGCGAAGGTAAATGCCTACACGTACTTTCAGGTCCTTTGATCTAATTTACCAGGCATTTTCAGGTATTCCAGCTTTGAATGCCAAAAACGAAGCCCAAGTGACAACAACAACGGTCGAAAAAAAATGCCAAGTATAAAAAGCAAAATCTTAAACGAAGGCGAAAACGAAAACGAAAATGAAAATGTTAAATGAAAATGCCCCCAAGAGCCGTCAAGCTAGAGCTTCCCCGCTTTTCACTTTTCACGTGTCTTCAGTGAGTCCTGGCAGTTAATCAATGAATAGCCGCACCGCACTGTCCTCATCCTTGGAGCAGCCTCCCTTGAGTTTTAGGATGCCGGACAGGACCACCAGGAATCCCTTGCAATTACATCAAAAGGAAAACTGCTGGCAGGAGCCCAAGTAATATTTCAAGGGGGCTGGACGACAGACGCTCTAAAATTAACTAAATAGCAGACGCCAGCAGTCCAAGGAACCACCCAAAAATCCAGCCCACCTACTCCATGCCAGGACACGAAAAGTCACTTAGAAGACTCACTGAGAGTCTGAAGAAAAACGGCCCACGTCCGCCAGGTGACCAAAGTACTCGCCATTTTTTGTATTTCTATTTTCATTCGTACGAATTGCATTTTATTGCCACGACAACAGTTCACCAAAAAAAACATAGAAATCGGAGTAAGAAGGGAAGAAAAATTGAATGGAACCGCAGACCATGGCAAACGTAAAATGCTCACCATTTAACTAAATTATTTCATTTAGCGCTGGAACAAAGTGGAAATGGGCAAGAAAGTGGGCGGAATTCTTGCCGGTGGGGAGATAAATGAGTTCCCAAATATAATACAGATTAATGGAGTCAGGGGATTTGGCTCATCAAATGCGACAGTAGCTGACCTGTTTTTTCTGGACGAAGAAATATCAGCAGGCCACATAAGTGTGGAAATTTATTTCGCATTAATAACTATTAAACGCACAGTTTTGCATATAAACATGTACGTTTTAAATCTATTTTATAGTCAAACAAACTTTAAAAATACCAAAATGTTTACAAATGCATTTCTTACTACCAAAAAGATTTTTCTTTGTGGATTAAATATGGGTCCTTGGCATAACTTTTAATTAGCCCGCAGTGTTGGGTAACTTTTTAAAGAGTTTTCACCTGCAAAAGTTTATTAAGTTTGCAGAAAATTGCATTCGGTTTAGAGCACTGTGTGTCTGCAGCAAGAGTACAAAAGTGGCTGGCAGTTGAGTTGTTGGGACGTGTTATGTTTTTTTTTCTTTTTGCCCCAGTGCTGAGCAACTGGGCTGATTGGAAGCGTAACGGAGATGAAACAGCTGCAGCGCCAGCCACCCAATTTCCCACTTTTCCGCTTCACCTCCGCGGGATTCGCAATCCACACGCCGGAATCCGCATTTCGCATTTCGCATTTCCAGCTCCAGCTCCAGCTAGAGCTTCATCTCCATCGGCGTCCGTGTCCGTGTCCGTGTCCGTGTCCAGGTACAACTGCGGCGGCTTAGCCGCAAGCCGGACCGAAGGACACACAGAGGGAAAAGTGGGAAAATTGAGTTGAAAATTGTTAGTGGCACTCTCTTCGCAGGCAACGCAAATTGACAGCTGTCAATCAGCCGGTCGCCCACTTGAGCCTCGCTCCTTCGTCCTGCCAGGTGGCATTTCTCCATCCGCCTGCAGATCCATTGGATGATGAGGCTACAGCCAGTGGACTCCCGGAGGACAGCGATTGCCAGCTGCTGTTGTGCACTTGAAATTGATTAAGCCACCCGAAGCAAACTTTTCTCGAGTTTCAAAAATGCAAAAGCCAAAACTCAGGCTACTAAAACAGCAGTGACAGGCAATATGCACTTATTAAACATAAAATTGAGCATTGAAACAAATGTAACATTATCAGAATTAAAAAACACCTAAATTGATTTTTAAATTGATTGAAAAAACCAGCGCTGCAGCATTACAAACTTAGAAAGACCAAAACTCCCACTTAGGTAGGGCAAAAGAAATTCGCTCAAGTAAAGCCCTTAATTACAAATAGTCGGTGCTGGAAAGGAAACATCAACGTGTCACTCAAACTGCAGAGCTTCATTCAAAATGTGTGTCCTCATTGGCCTCAAAATAGCTTTCCCCTTGCAGGGAATAGCATTTCGCAATTTCTATTCCACACAGTCTCTCTTTGCGGGGAAAATGTGGGAAACTTGGGTACTTCGAACTACTTTGGCCAAGTGTTTCAATGACCGGCGGGGAACTTGAGCTCCGTCTCGAACTCGGACTTTTATGAACCTGCCACTTATTGGAGAACTTCCGGTGCGTTCCTATGTCCTTGCACACTTGCGAGTATGGGAGGTCCTGCCAGCTGGCAGTTATTAAGCTTATGGCCATAAACTTGCGGCCAAATAAGTTGATACTCCGTTTTGATTGCCTCTGCGAAGCCACCTTCGAGCATTAGTTCATCTGGAATTCTGGGCAGAGTGTTTCCATTTCGCATCTGGCTGAAGTGCAGCAATCTGCTGGCCAGAAACCACATCATTTCGAGAGCAAACATAAACGAAAGTCAAGTACAGTGAACACAAAAATAGCAAACTCCTGCATTTAAAACTGCAAATTAAACTGTTCTTACACATTTTTTTCAGAACTGCACGCATTCTGTGTTCAGTGTATTTATTCCTTGGCCCAACGCAAAACTTCTCAAGCCGTGGTAAAATTAAATTTAATGATTTGTGCATTACTAACACAAATAGGACTTTCCATCAATATTCTGAGTAATAAGAACCAAATTGAATTGTGGCAACCTTCTGGGAAATCGAACATTGCGACTTGAGCTTACTTATATTTCTGCGAAAATAAATACAAATACACAGTATTTGGTTCATTGCCTCTCGGTTTCTTTGGCCAACGGTGCGTATGAGGGATTTAACCAATTACACGCAATGCTGCCACGCAAATTTTACAACAAACAAGTACGAATCTGGAAAAAGGGAAATAGAAGGCAACTTTAAATTCACAAGGAAAATGGAAATTCTCAAATTCTCTGTTGATAGTAAACAAAAATTAAAGCCTCCCATTACATTTATTTTCATTATGTTTTATGGATATAAAGATTAACGATTTATTTTGTAATTATTTCGATTAATTTTCAGAATTTACGCATATTTTTTCACTAAGTATCAACAATAAATATCAAGCCGTTACTATAGAAAATGACAACTTACTGTTACCTGTAGTTTGACCCACTTAGTAAATCCCAAGCCCTTTGTAAATTGAGATTTGCCAACCATTCGATAATTGAGCCCCGTCCAATGCGTTTTAAACCACCAAATACTATTTTCTTCGATTTTTTCCAGTGTATCTCTGTGTCTCTGTGTGTAGCAAACCCATCAGTACCATCCCCCTCCAAAAATAAAAAACCCCAAAAGCCCCACTGAAAAGAAACTCACGAATACAAAAATACAGACCCAAATCACCGCACTTTCGGCTAGCCGAAAGCCCGAAAGTCGCAATCACTCGTAAAAACTCGAACCTTAAATAGACCGCAAGGAGGAGGACCAGGCCGGAGAAAGCCGAGTAAGGGAGCGCCGCAGGAGCGGCAGGAGCCGAAGGATACCGCTCACTTCCGAGGATCGGCGGGCGCTGCCACAGAAACCAGAACATGCGCCATGTCAAAACTGCGGCATTACCGGTCCATGGATCAGCCGTGCAGCAGCACCTGCGTGGTCATACGCAAAAAGTTAGCAACCCAGAGAAAACTCTTAAGCTGTTAAACTCTAAAACACCCGCAACGCCACCTGACCTCAAAAATCAGCGGAAGCGCCCTAACTTTCCCACCAGATAAATAACAAAATAACAAAAAGCCCACAAAAAGCTTTCCTCTTCTCCACGCTTTTCTCTATGCACGCCAAATGAAAACTGAAACCAAAGCCAGGACTCTCACCTTGGAACTTTCACATCCTAAAGCACTTTCACCGCATGCCACACTCACTAACACTAACACTAACAGCTTTGCAAGCTTTCCAGCTTTCCAACTTTCCAACTTTTCGAGCAAGCTTTGAGCCTGTGGCTTTCGCAAGTCCTGAGGACGAAGCTCTCCTACTCGAGAAAAGCTTCGCCTGCCAGCCAAGCAGCCGATCCAAAAATAACACCTGCCATTCATACATTCTTCGCCGCATGACACTGTCCCATCTTCAACTTTCCCACTTTTCCTCGCTTCGTTTTAACCGCATGCGTTTTGCCTAACATTAAGTGATTGATGGCCATTTTTGAGAATTTACTAATGCCGTTTTGTGTTTTCCAGGACGATGACAGCCATTTGCTTCGTGTGCAACCTGCCCATCATGTCGCACCAAGTGGGTTTGGTGTGGCAGGGCGGCAACGGCTGGGACGATCTTGTGCGGGAACAGGTGGGGTCCACTGATTCGCTGATTCGAATGAAAACTATCTATATGTACTATGTATTTTAAAGAATTTCCCAAAGTGCACAAACAATTCCTGTTAATAGTGAACAATTTTGAATAGTGCTGAATATCAGTGGTTGTGGCCTTAAAAAGAGCTGGAGCTTACTTATTCCAACCAAATTTGTGCGAGAAATCATAGAACTGCTTACAGTTTTAATATATTTTAGCTTATTTAAAAAAATAAAAATCTTAGAAAATCTTGGAAAGCATACTAAAAGTCATTTTCAATTGGCAACTAATTGTAACCTAAAATGTACATATATTTTGGCATTTCGCTGTAATTTGAAGCACTTGCGCAATAAATTCACTGCAGCATTAAGCTCGATTTCAATTAAAGTAATTAACATTAAATTTCGTTAAATGTTTCACTGCTACACTTGGACTTAAGAAAATACCTCTAAAAATGTATGCAACTTGAACATTTTTAACTTAAAAGCCGACTTCCAATTACCACTTACCCATAAGTGCAGCCGAGTATATGAAAAACGTCTTGAGAGTAATGCGGATCTTTCGCTTTCAGCTGGAGGAGTCCACCATCCGGCAGCGGCTGGGCGGCCGGCGGGACTCGGCGGCCCAGATCACCACGCCGCCGAGCACCTCGCCGCCGCCGGGACTGCAGCGCCGGCGGCGCAGCTCGCTGGCCCAGCTGACGGACATCCTGCGGGAGTGGAGCGGCGGCACCAAGCAGCAGCAGCAGCAGCAACACCACTCGCAGCAGCAGCAGCAGCAGCAGCTGCAGCAAGCATCCCGCTCCAAGGCGCAGCTGAATCGCCGCGAAACGCTGGCGGACCTGGCCCGCAGCCTGCCGTGGCGCACCTCCACCACCACGGATGCGAGCACGGGTGCCGGGGGCTCCGGCGGTGCTGGTTGCACCACCTACATGGCGCCTCGCAAGCGGCGCGAGTCGTCCGCGGACTCGGGCATCCGGAGCATGAGGTCGCGGCGGGACTCGAATACCGCCGAGTTCGTGAGGCACTGGAATCGCCGCGAGAGCGGGGCAGTTGAGGAGCAGCCCAGTGTCTCGGTGCCCGTCGTCGTCGAGTGCTCCAAGAGCGTAAGTATCGGGATGAACCATAATCTATAAGAAAACCAAGTCGGATTAGTTCCAAACTAAGCCAACTAAGAACTGCTGGCAAATGCACTCAGTGATTTCAAAGTAGTGGAGATCATTTTGCAAGCGAGTGCAGTTGCCAGGTGGTTCTTACATATTACCAGCACCTTTTGGCTCCACCTTGACCACCACCTTGACCCCTAACCCGTGGCGCTGTTCTCTCTCTTTCCCACCACTCCAAAACGCTCCAAAACGCTCCAAACCATCGCACATCCTGGCTACCACCAATTACCAACCACCGAACCACCAAACCACCAGGCATCCCGGCGCGGATCCGGAGAGAGCTACCTGTCCAGCAGTCGGCGCGACAGCAATGTGGCCGGTCGGGTGACCACGCCCCCGCCACCCGGCAAGTACCAGATGGCCAAGAAGCGCGACTCACTGGCCGCGCCGGAATTCCCAAACTTCCGGCAGGAGCAGCGCCCGTCCACCAGTTCCGCCGGCTCCTGCTCGGACCACTCCATGCCCCTGATCTCGACGCACTCGAGCACTCACCACCTGGCCCACCAGCAGGTGGACTCCGCGTGCCAGGCCCTGCCGCCGCCGACGATCATCACCAGCTCCGTGACGCCTCCGGCAACGAGTCCAACGGCGCCGAAGGGTCGTCGCGACTCACAGACGCAGTGCGGCCGCGTCAATCGGCGGGACTCCAAGGCAGGCGTCAGTCCGGAGCGCGCGCCACGCCTCCAGCGGCTGCAGCGCCAGGCGACCGCCTTCGACGAGGGCTGCCTGCCGGGCGGCAGTAGGCGCGGCTCCCAGCCCGCCCTCAGTCCCGATCCGCCGGACGACTGCGAGAGGCGCACCTCTCGGCGGGATTCCCTGTCACCGGACAGCGCCTCGCGTGGCGGTCGCCGCGATTCCCGGACGCATCTATCGCCGGATCGCTCCCACGAGCGGGATGGCAGTCCCAGGCGCCACACACTCCGCAGGCAGAGCAGCTCGGCAGCCAGATCGCCGAGATCGCCGGACTCGAACAGCTGCTGCTCCTCCCGGGATCCCAGTCCCTGCTCTAGGCCACAAACGCAGACCACCGTCGAGCAGAACCAGCGGCCGGCCATCCGGCGGCAGTCCACCACCGAGGAGATCCTCATCGCCAGGGGATTCCGGCGACAGTCGACCACCGAGGAGATGATCCGCTGCCGCAACTTTCGGCGGCAGAGCTCCCAGAGCGACGACGTCTGTCGGTAAGTCCTTTAACTATCAATTCATGTGTTATTAATTGAATGATCTGTGTTATATACGACTAATATTACCCTCGATGCGCAGTTATCGTGGCAGACGCGACTCGTCGGCGCAGATCATCGACGGCACCATCGGCACCATGACCGTGGAGACGACCAGCACCTTCTTCGACTCCAGCACCCAGACAGGTGAGCGCGTGGTTTTCAAAATTCAAAATTCAAAATTCCCACCCAATTGGTCCTGCCAACCGCACTGAGAGCTTTTTGGCCAGCTTACCAGATCCACCGAAAGCTGGAAAAGCGCAAAGCTTCAGGCACTTGCCTTGTTTAGTGAGGGAAAAGCTGCTGTCAGCTGCTTGGCGCCAGGACAGCTGTTCGCTGGCAAGGACCTGTCCACTCGGCCTGGGATTCGCGTCCTTTTCACGCGACACATGCCATTCAGTTGGTGTTGAAGTAACAGACGTGCCACAAGCACCGCAGCAGCCAGTCGAACGAAAATCGCAGCGCAGCCGGCGAATCGAGTCTGAAATACAGGAGCAAAAAAAAAAAAACAATAAATATAAATTAAAAAGCAAGCGTAGCGAGCAAAGACGAAAGAACACAGTAGCGCGGCAAAGTATGCTACGATTTTTGGCAAACTATCGTTCAGCTCACCATTGCGCATAAGTGGTTGAGTGTGTGTGAGCGTCTCGGCTGACTGCGTGTGTGTGTGTACGTGCGTACGTGTATATTTCTCATATCCTGCCTTCTAACTTTTTTTTGCTGTGCGTGTGTGTGTGCGGTGCGTGAACACTTTTCATCGTCGGCGTCGACTGTTGCAGCTGCAACATCGCAGGATCCCCAAGTAAACAGCACAACAGCAGCGACGTGGCCGAGTACGTCGATGTCGTCGGTGGCGGCAGCGGCAGCGGCAGCGGCGCCGGCAGCGGCCATACCGCCACCGGACCCACACCCGCACCCCTGCTGCGCAGTGGCCGTCGGCAGCCGTCGAGCAGCAGCGCCAGCAGCAGCAGCAATCGCAGCCGCAGCGGTCTGTATAATTCGTAGACTAAGCAATGCATACCCCGCCAACTGGCGGGCTGCCAAAATGTAGACACTACTTCACCAACTCTTACTTGTTGCACGTGAATGGGGTTAACAGACTGCTGGTCGCAGCAAATGCTTCACTATTTGCCACAAATACTTAATAAATCGCTGCTATAATTAACAACATGCGAATGGCATTTAATTCGTGTCAAATTCATATAATATTACTATATTTTCAGTTCTTGTGACAGATAGAGCTGCTAGATTTTCCAAACATTTTCCGAGCGTCATCCATTCAATTGAATGCCATTTTGGCAGCCATACAAGGCAGCGCGACCACGCCTCCGCGCGTCCCTGCCGCCTCCAAATGCCTTTTAATGAATGAAAGTGCACTATCTGCGTGCGTGCGTGTGTGTGTGTGTGAGTATCTGTGTGACAGCCAGGAAATGAATGAGCGCCGACTTCGCCCCTTCTCTCTCTCGCAATCTCTCTTTCCCGCTGTTATGAATGAAATGTGATTCGAGTTTGATACTGATGCAGCAACAGCACTGGCCACTTCCTTTATAACGCCCCCCGCCCCCCGCCCCCCGGCGCATTTTGCAGCTGCCACTGCAAGTGCAACAAGTTCTTCTTCACGACGGCCAGGGACAAACTTTGGTCGCATTGAAATGCAAAATTTATTGATTTAACTTGTTGCCAGCAGACGGGCGACATTCAAAGCACAACGAATGGTAGCCAAGGTAAAGTTAGCCTTTAGATTTACTCGCACTACGTACAAAAACGAGTTCACAGAAGTTATTCCCTTTTGCGAAAGATCTGCAAGATAGGTTGGCATTTCAAAGAAACTGTGTTTAGAAGTAAATGTAGTGTAGATCAAGATATGCCACTAAAGTAGAGTAAGGAAGAGAATGTCCATTAATGCTTGCATATTTATGACAACACAATTATTTTCCCTCTAACTCGATTATGAGCCGGAAGATCGAAAGACCGTATGTTCGTCAATTAGGCGCACTTGGAGTCCTGGAAAGGATTTACGGCCAGTGGAGGCTGCCCCTCTTTGTTGGCTCACTAATTAATATTGAGTGTGAGCACTGCAGGAGAAAAATGCTCAAGCACTTGATTTAATTCAAGCAATTAGTGCTCGGCCTGCGATTGCCAATCAGGCAGTAATTCCATTTGTGTCTGCCCTTTAAATACTTAGACAGTAATAATCGTAATGCTCTTAAAGTTCAAACTTAAATTGCATTGTCTACGCCATTGCACTTTATGTGCAACTAGTCAGTCGGTTGAGCAGCAGCTCATCAAAATGCGGCTCAAAGGATTAGCAGCAATTGCCAAACTGTACTCCAATTAGTATCTCAACTGGCTATTGATTACGTACATTTTTATGCTAATTTACGGGCTAAAAAGGGGGCTATTTTATTACCATTTTATTACCCAATTCGGCTCGATGAACGGGTACTTACCACTGTAGAGCTGATCCTGTAATTACATTTGCATTTATTCATTAGAATAATTCTATTTGTGCCACAGTGTCCCCCAATTATTTTCCAGAATTTGTATGACTTGGGTAAATTGCCAAAAGATTTGTAACTTCACTTAATTGAGCCGTATTTAAATGCTTCGATCAGTTTGATAGAAATGAAACGCACTGTCAAGGGCGAGCAGCTGCTGCTTCGTTCATCTATATTTTTAGGAACGCATCAATAATGTCACGAATTGAAAATTGACCGACCTCGCAAGATGGATTAAAGTTTCGCGAAAAAGGTCGAAAAAACGAGATGTTCGCGAAAATTGTTGCCTGAAGAAAAGTGGGCGGTATGCCCCAGAAGCAAACAAAGAAACAAACAAACAAGAGGCGGCTATTTTCGATCCTTTGATTGATGGGTGGCTGATTGATGGGCTGACCTAATGGCCAACTGCGGCTCTCTCGTAAAACAGTTCGTAATCGCAGGAATTAGCAGCTGACGCCCCTTGGCCAAATCGATTACGAAACTGAAAACTCGAAAGTTTTCAAATCAGCCAGCCCAGGGCCATAAAATTCAAATTGTTATTGGGGACAGGGCCAAATAAAAATATAAAATACTTGGCGACCAGCAGTCCTGCCGTCGATGATGGACTCGCCACCTGAATGTAGAACCCGAAAAGTGGGCGTAGCCACCAATAGCAACTTCAGTGCCACAAATGTATAATGCCATTAACAGCTGTCACTTTCGGGCTGTTGAAATATTTGACAGCCAAACACGAGTGTCTCATAAAAAGCGGCAAAAACAAAGAGGAAAGGAAGTAAGACAAAAATAAGGAAAGTAACAAGGAACCTATAAACCGACAAAGACAGCGGGCGGAGGCCATTGAAATGATAATAATGATAATAATAATAATAATAATATTGAGACAGCATTTTAGTTTCGTGGTAATGGCTCGCGTTTATTTGCCAAACAAGATGCTTGTCAATTGTTGTTCCTTCGCCGTCTGTTCCTTGTTCCCTGCGACTTCCTCCTCGCTTTCTTCGTCACTTTCTCCAGCCCTTGTCTCTGTGTGTGTCTGTGTCTGTGTCGGTGTCCGTGAGGAGTATCCAAATTGCGTAGCCGACTGCTGGAGCCTTTCGTCAATCATACGCACCGTTGTACGCATTACAACCCCCTGGACACCACAAGCCATAAGTCAGCCTAATGCCGCAGGAAATCAATATAGCCATCGCCTTAGAAAAGCTTCATGGTCCGCACTTGGCTCTGGAAAACTGAGGGAAAGCTCTGGCAGTTATTTAGGGCTAGGGTTACGGTTTGGTGGGGAAAAACTGTCAGGAACTGTCCACGAACTCGCTCAATCAGCAGCCGCTGCCTGGATAAGTTATTAATCCATCGAAGTGGGTCACAAAACTGGCAATAAATGCTATATTTTCATATTTCCCCCGGCTATATCGACAAATACCTACAATTACTGCCTTGTTGTTAATATAATGAAGGCAATTTATTGTGCACTTGGGCAACGGACCCTAATAAATTACACATTCACTGCAAGTAAATCCGTGAATATGGCATTAAAACATAAAAACCTAAGTACTTAAATGCATTGTAATAAGCATCACTCGAATTTTAAACATTTAATCTCAAGCTGAGCATGTAATTCAAGTTTAACCACCATGAATTAATATGTTCGAAAACTAAGCAACCATTACTATTAATGGATCCTGCTGATAATTAAAAATACACCTACTGCTAACCCTTGCACCCACGAAATCGGCCATTTCCTTGTCATTTTCTTGCGGCTATTTTCATAAAATCAAATTAACACACAAGACCCGCACGCATAGGAAAAAAGTGTGGAGCAAGCCCCAATGCTGCGTCGCACTAATTGAACTGAGGTGATGTGGGTGAAAGGTGGGCGAAAGTTGGGCGAAAGTTGTGCGATAGTGGGTGGTGCGCTGGCTGTTGGCCAGACAGAATGTTTGACTTTGGCTCAATTAACACCGCACACCGAATGGCCGACTCATAGATTCATTAAAATACAGCAAACAAGGCTGGACAAGATGGTGGCGTTGCTCCGCCACCAGCACAGCTAAAGCCACACCCACACCCACACACACGCGCACGCACACGCACACACACACACACACACACACATGGATATGGGCAGAACACAAAGGACGACGTGTCCCGTGTCTGTGTGTATTTCAGTAATTTGGATTAAACATGCAGTCCGGCGGGAAAGAGGACAACGGCGAGGACAATAGAAATCACCTGACCCATTAACCAGCAATGCTTACAATGTCCACCCATCTCTGTCGCACGCTGTAGCGCCCTCTCCTTCAGGCCACAATAGCCCCGTCTCTCTCTGTCTCTCTGACCAGAGCTAAAGTTTGAAGTTATTGCTTTCATTTCCCTGTAGTCGCTCCCAGACGCCAAGAATTTAATTAATTCCCGGCTTGGCACGAAAAGCCAGCCAGCCAGTACACATCGTTTAAATACGACGGCTATTTAAGGTCGATTACTAATTCCACTCCATTAAACTTACTTACTATGCCTGATTCGAGGCGATCAGCCATTTTCAGAATTATCCAATTACTTTCCGTCTGCCGAATTGCAAAACGATCTTTTCTGAGTTTTAGCCAGTTATTAGTGTACTTGGAGATGCCTTTAAATGCGTCTGTAATAGCATTTCAT